GATGACTACTTCTCATACTTGACTTCAAGCACCTTAAGGAAACTCCCTAAGTCATTTCTAAGCTCTCAGTTTCAATGATTGCTCTTTGACATGGTGTTTGGTCTCTTGCCTGTGTCTGGTATGACTGATCACTCCACCCCATTCTTCTGTACTCCTCTGGATTTTGAGACAACTTTCCCCTGGTTTTCCTTTTATCCCTTTGTTCTCTGTTTTCTTCATAAGCTCCTCTTAAATGCTACTGGTCCCCAGGATTCTGCTTCACTCTATATAACCTTTGTACAGTGTTACTAACAGGGAAAACTGCGGGGGAGGGGCAAGGGGGTGGGAGTCGGTGGAGGGAGTAACATGGGAACTCTATACTATCTGCTCAATTTTTCTGTAACTCTAAAACTGTTCTAAAGAATACAGTTTATTAATAATAATTTTAAAAGGCAATGGTTTAAAAACGCTAAGGCTAAAACAACTATAACATTTTATAGTTAAAATAATCCTTTGTTCTAAAAATTATTTTTCTGATATAGAGTCTGGGTAGGAAGAATCAGTTGTCTGAATTTCTATAAAGACTGTGAAAAACAAAACACATCAACTAATTAGAAAGATAACTATAGAAAATTTACTGTAATTAGGTCACATGTTTAGAACAATAATCTCTAATTGGATTTGTCAAAGTGTTCCTGCAGGTATTGATTTAATTCAATTCAATATACATTTATCGAACACCTGCTACATGAAAGGCCCTTGGTTTGGCACTGGGTAGTGGATATAAAAGCTGAAGAAGACACGGTTCCTGAAACTACAGAGATTAGCATCTGGAAGAGCATAAAAAACAACGCAGATACTCAAATGCATGGCAGATGTAAGTGAGAATGTGGGACAGAGGGAGGGGAGGTCATTCCAAGAAAAGACAACATTGGAAAAGTGCAAGGCATTCGGAAAGAATAATGAGAAGGTCAGTTCGGCTGGAGCATATGCTGTGACAGTCATGGGGCCTAGGAATGAAAAGAGTTGTAGGGCACTAGGGATACAGCATGACCACAGACACACTTCTACAACACAACTCAGACCAAAGACTGAACCAACGGACAGGACGGCTGAGAGGACGGCAGGCAAGAGGCGGCATGGGCACAACAATAGCCTGGCTGGTGAACGGGGCCAGAACCATGGCTCTCTAGTGAGACTGGGAAAGAGGGGACATGTGGCTTTCAATGTCCAGACTGCATTTTATGAGATTGTGCAAAACTCAGGGACTGCAACAGCAACAGGTGGTCCTAGTGATGAAGACCACGCCTCATATGTACTGATCCGAAGCATGTGCTGGCACCTGAGGGAAGAGACTGATACTGAAGGCTGCCTCTTCAGCTTGCTTGCGCTGATGCAAATCAGCTTACGTGCCTTTCATTCCCTCCCTCCTATTCTATAAAGCTTTTATGTTTTCCCTGATTATAAAAATAGTGCGTACTTAACATAAAATTGGGGCTATACATAAAATAAAATCCTTTTGATTTGTATAATCCACAGGTAACCACTATTATAATTCCCCCTCATTATTTTTCTATGCATGAGGCACTGGGAAATAGTGCAGTTGGTTAGTTATGGAATACAATCTTAGTTATGTGCACTCTTATAGGTTAAACCTCATACTATTAATATGAAGCCAACACTGTACATAGAAGAAGCTGTTGTTTTGCACATCAGGATCTCCAGCTGCTTGTCGGAATGGCTGTGCTCTATTTCTAAAAAGCTCTTTTGTATAGACTTCATGATAGTGAACTGTGTTGCAATATATTTATATAATTAATATAATATAGTAATTTTTTCCTTTAAAAAATACAGCACAAAATGTGACGGTTTACCTTAACAGTAGACAATAAAGATAAGAATGTATGTTAAGAAGGAGTCTAACTCCGAAATGTCTTATTCCTAAAGAAACAATGGATTTTTTAATAGTATGAAGTTTCTCATGCTGTAGCAGAACAGACTGTGTATGTTGGGTTGGCCCAAAAGTTCGTTTGGGTCTTTCCGTAAGCTCTTATGGAAAAACCCGAACGAACTTTTGGGCCAACCCAATATTTTATATTCACAAAAGTGCATACATTTGGCAAATTGGAATAAACACACACATACACATGCACACATCTGTATCCTGTTTCTTCTCTGAGTATGTTTCATATACAATTACATATGTTAAATGTTCTTTAATGGACAGTCATGTTAATCTGTTTAAAATTTAGCAATTCGTCGAGAGCCACGTCAAGTTTTGCCTCCACTGTAAGTATTCAACGAGAGCCCATGTATGACTTCTTGGGATTACAGTAATAGATCCTCTGAATGCCTTTACCAGTATCTAGCCTGTTCTCTTTCCAAATCACTTTGATGAAATGATTTCTCTCAAATGTGGCACCAATCATGTCACTCCCCAGCTCAGGAGACCTTCGACGGTTCCCCACGGGCTACATGATCCCGGTCTGGTTTCACTAGTCCAGACTTTCCCCCCGTCATACCATCTATATTCCCACCAAACATAACCTCCTGTGCCTTTACTTCAACTCCCCCCACCTGGGATTCTAACATCACTCCGTGTTCCTTTCTACCTTGATGACAGTTATCTGTGTACACGTCTTTCCTCTGGATTAGGCTATAAACACTTTGAAGCCAGGATTTCCAATTTCAGTGCAGTGCAGTTAAGTGTAAATCAAAGTCACTGAAGGCCAACCCTATTCCAGACACCAGGCAAGGTGTTAAGAGTAGAGAGTAAATAAGGCTCAATCCTCACCCTCAAGGATCTCACAGCCCAGAGAGGGAGACAACATGTAATAAATAACCTGATTCAAGGTACTCCATGAAATGGCAGGAATGCACAGGAGACACCATGCATCACAGAGGAAGGAATGGGCTCTGCCTGTACGGGCTGGGCCGTGATAGGTGATTTCTAAAGGAACAAGAGAGTGCCAGACAGCAGAGAAAGTGCAGCACAGCATGGTATATTTAGGCCATTTTAGAAAGGTGGGGGAAGAGATGGACTTGCCTTTAGAGATACGAGGGTAAATACCACTAAGAGTCTTACAAAATATGACAGGAGGCTTAAAAACCAAATGCGATTTAACATCTCTTCCAAGGCTATTGGTTATTCTTCCAACTATTTATATTACTCTGAACTTCTCCATGTATAATTTTGTCTCTCTCCAACTAGAATGTAAACTTTTGGAAGGCAGAATTCATGTCCGCACTTCTTGAATGTCTCAAAGCCCTCAGTATGGGGTCTAGCACACAGTAGAAGTCTTACCAATCTTTTAAATTCACAATCCACCCTCATAGCTGTATGCTCAGTGCTTGAAGGGAATTCAAAACATCTGTTAGAAGAATGAACCAATGCTGAGTTAAGACAAAAACTGAAAGGACCAGCATATTTTGTGGCAATGTTCTGGATTAGTGATTTTGCCTCTAGAACAACTTTATTTGCTGTTAAAAAAGCAATTTAATGCAATTTGTTTCCAAATGTCATATTTTAGCATATTTATGGTTGTCAATAACTGGGTAATCAGCAGTAAAATAACATGTATGGATTTTCAGCTATGATAATTGGACTTGTCTCTCAGAATTGCTTGTATGTAACGATCGTTAATTAATGGATGACATTTCCTGCAGACTGGGAGGCCCTGTCTCGCCAGCCTCTGCTGGACAGGACTGTAATCTGTGGCCTGAAATGACATCTTCTCTATAGGGAGTAAATGTGGTGTGATGACCAACAGTGGTAGCTGAGTCAAAGAAATGGAAATGAAGGAGGAGTGAAGATGGAAAAGTTAGCATTGCTCTTTATCAACGTTATGGCAAACCAGGGCTGGGCACCTTGTGTTTATTTGGGAGAGGAAATGAGAGATGTATGTGAGTGTGACTGTATGAATATGTTTGTTTGAATTGGGGAAGTAATAGGGGAAGAGGAGAGGTTCTTTTCTAGGATCCAGTCTGATGAGAAAAAGGGAAAAGAAAAGAGAAGTAAAGGCTGTAAATGCTAAGGGAAAGCTAGGTAGCTATAAATATCTAAAAAAGGACTGTACATGGTGCCGTCACAGGCTGCAGCAAAGAGGATCACATAAAAGAGACAATGGAGAAGATGACGTAGAAAATCAGGGGTGTATTTAAGTCCAACACTCAGAAGCTTCTCTGCAGGTTTGTTCGACGCCTGATTGTTTTGCTGGGATGCTAACCCATGCTGCCTCCTGCATTCCACCTTAGTGGTGGTGGTGACAGTGAAATATACCTCTCATGTTGTCAGTTTTAACCCCTAAATGCCATTGCCTATAATTTTGCTCCTTAGTTCTAGGGTGTGGCTGTCAGTATCACTTGCCCAGAGATGACAGGAACCAAGAAAGCATCACCCAAGGGATGGTGAACGCCACAACAGCTCAGACAAAGCATATGCAGTCCTAGAAATGCTACATATTCTAAGTAACTGTGTCTAGGGAGAGGGGTGAAGATAGAACTATGCTCTCATAAAGACGTGAATCCCCAAAGTCAACTTTGCCCGAGACTCATAAATGATCTTATATTTAATTCATATTTCCTGTCCTTTTGTCTTGGAGACCTAACCTCTCCTGACCTACAATCATGAAGCAGGTCTCAGGAGGGACCTCGCTGGTGGTCCAGGGGTTAAGACTCTGCCTTCCAATGCAGGGGGTGTGGCTTCGATCCCTGGTCAGTTAAGATCCCACAGGCCTCGGGGCCAAAAAACCAAAACATAGAAAAACAGAAACAGGGCTTCCCTGGTGGCGCAGTGGTTGGGAGTCCGTCTGCCAATGCAGGGGATGCAGGTTTGTGCCCCGGTCCGGGAAGATCCCACATGCCGTGGAGCGGCTGGGCCCGTGAGCCATGGCCGCTGAGCCTGCGCGTCCGGAGCCTGTGCTCCGCAACTGGAGAGGCCACAACAGTGAGAGGCCCGCGTACCACAAAAACAAACAAACAAAAAAACCCAGAAACAATATTGTAAAACGCAGGTCTCTTACATCAGTCTGGGTATGTCGCTGACAGCCACCGTCCCGTCCTGGGTCTCGCTCTCTCCATCTTCCTCCTCTTCATCACTGCTTTCCGACTCCTCACTCGAGGAGGAGTAATCCGTCACTTTCTTCAGTGGGCGGTTTGTTTCTTCAATCCGGAGTTCTCTTAATTCTTTGGCTAATGCCGTCAGATCCTACAAGAGAAAAGCGTGTCCAGCGTATATGAATTATAGAACGACCAAAGCGACGTCTCTCAGCAAGTCTCCGACTCAAGCAACAAGAAATAAACAAGAAAAAAAAGCTCTCTATAGAACTGTTACAAACATAGTTACTGCATGAAACCAAGAAAACGATGTTTGTAGCGCGGAGAAACTAGAAAAGAAAGATGAAATAAATTTAAACTTTGTTCACAACCAATTGCTAGACTGAGACTGTTCGGTTCTGAATCTGCATGTGTATATATGTGTATGTGCACTGTGTGTGTACACATATATACAAACACCGGGTTCACATTTTATTTTGGGAAGGTGAAGTTGGTCACCCACCCTCATAGTTAATTACCCACAGGATTAGAAATTATTCCCCAGTATTTTGAGACTCCTGCCCAAGCCATAGTCATGGACTTTCTCCTCTTATGATTGCTACTGTACCAAAATCTAGCATCAGTCACAGAACAGAGCAATTTCCAAGGTTCCAGCTGCTACCATGACTCATTTGGTGTGTCATCATTCCCTGGACAGCCGAGGCACCACATCAAATAATGGCCCACCCCAAAGCCCAGTGCCACTGAAATTTAGAGCCACAGAGCTGAGTTAATCAAGAGGAACAACAACAAAATAAAACAAACAAAAACAAAAAAGAGTTCTCTTCCAGGACGATAGGTGTTTCATTTTCTTTTGTTTGATATTGCGTCACCTGGCAGAAACCCTGGCGGAGAATACTGAAATGAATGTGCAAACACCAAAAGGAAGAGGTAAACTTTCAGTTTTCCATGAGTATGATGAAACCTTTAGCCTTATGGATGTGATGAGGTGGTATTTAATCACCAGGCACATGGCAGGCGGTGTGCTGAAGATCTGACTACCTTTTATTGTACATGCTTTCAGAGCAATGCAGAGGGAAGCAGTTCTGCTAAAGCATGGCCGCTCTCATTTGCATGGGTTAAACTGCCCTCGGCACACAGCATGCAAGTGAAGAAAAAGCAATTTGACATCAGTCTTACCATTTCTCCCTATATTAGTGACCCATGTGGGAATCAGAGCATTCAGTGAGAGACAGGGGATTAGGGAGAAAGAAACTCATTTGAAGATACTAAATCCCACAGTTTTCTTATGGCCATATTCTCTCTTTATTTCAATCCAGAAATGTATTTGCCCAATTCACCTGATGTAAGGTTAGAGCAATATAGGTGATCTAAATGACATCTGATAATCTATCCTGATAGGTTAGAAGAAAAGTTGTGATAAATGTGTGTAATTAAATTATAAATATAATTTTATTTTGAGAAGACAACAGATCATCCTGTTTCTTTACTGGTGCCTATATGTGAGGCATGAATGTATTGGTTAAGACTAAGGACAGAAAATGCTGCAGGTTTTTTATTTGGTCTAGAAATTTAGAAAGTTCAAGGTGTTACGTGAAGGATTCATTTCTTTCTAATTTCATAAAAATCAAAGGGACAGCAATGACAACTTTTACATTTGTTCTGTAGTCATTTGAATTGAAGCCCTTGGAAAAGGGAAGCTTTTGGAAATTCAAATTGTGCATTTTCCACCCAAACATGCTCGCTGGGCTTTTACACACATGCACACACACATGGCCTCAATCTCAGTGGATACAGTTATCCCATCCATGAAAGTGAAAATAAAATTGTATTAAAAAGACTCAAACTGTTTAAATATAATGTACACCATGAATGAAGAGGAAAATTACCACACAGAATTTTAGGCAAATCTATTTCCGGTTTCTTTGGTGATGGGCCAAAATAAGAAAAGCTAATGCTCAGATTTCAGCTTTTTACTTCTTATTTCCTCTTGACAATTGCCAATGTTTATCTTTATCAAATTGACGAGAAAGTGAAGGGTATGCTACACTTGAGCACATTGGGAAAATACAGTTTAGATATTTGTTAAAACAATTAATGAAAAAGGACATTATAATCCTCCAAACCAATAAAATAATTAAAAATTAGATAAACTTATTTTGTATTTTTCCTTCTCTATGTTAGGACCATGTATGTCTCATCAAATAATACAACTAGCATCTAAAATGTTACTTGTCATTAAAAAAATTTTTATTACGATTTAAAGAGAGAATATGGTTAAGAGAGTTTATTTCTAATGTCAGTAATTCTGAGTAAAATATAATAATATTAACTATGATTTATTTAAATTAATAATACATTTTCCCCATGGGTTGGTTTTCCTTATCACTGACATTTCAAAGCAAGACAAAGAAGATTTAAAAAAATCAAAACTATTTAGAAATATTTAGCTGGTCCAAAGTCCATTGATTTAAAGTAACTCTCACTTGTTAAAATCACCTAAATTTCTCCAAACACTGTATTTAGGAACACTTTTAAAGCCCTGACCTGCTTTATAATTTCACTGTTAATTAGTGGTTTGTTTTTTTTTTTTTTTTGGTTTCTGTGTTATTAAAAAGCTATCTTTCCTGAAACTTTAGAAATAATTGCAAATTCCTTTTAGGTTTAATTGGTAACAGCTTGGCAGGTGAGACATATATGAAAATCCCAAGGTACCAATAATGAGTAACTCAAAACTAATACCCCAGCCAAAGAAAATTAATCTTCCATTGCCCATAGTCTGTGTGTTTAGCTGAAGTTTTGTTCCTTATCCATCCACCCTGGAAAAACTTAGAATAGCAAAGTTATAGGAAAGAGACATGATCTAAAACTGACACCATTGTGTTCAGATCCATTTTCATATGTTCTATTTTCTGACAATACCAATCTTCTCCATATAATGAGTTTTTGTGGTAATTTATTGCTTGACTGTCTCAAGCCTGGAGCTAAAAAGTATTAAAAAGAGGAAAAAGTGCTATTTACAATAAAAATATTTGAGAATGTATAACTGAAAAAGAAATATGGCAAAATGTTAAGCTTTTTGACTAGAGAGTAAAGATAGTTAAGGGGCTCTCACCCAAAGGTTTCTTTCATGTAACACTTTTTAGAATCAACTTGATATAATTTTTCTTTCAAAAAGGCTTATTTAATCTGATAATTATGCATACTCTGCTTTAAAAGGTGCTCTTTTGGGTATCTTTTTAAAAACAATATAGTTTATGCAAATTTTAGTTCAATTTTTTAAACTATTAAAATAATAGTTAAAGATTTTAAAGTTGTTTTTTTCTTTACATATTAAAATAATTCATTTCCTTTTTAGGAAATCTAAAGATATGACTTGGGGAAGTCACTTGACTTCGAATCTTCAACTGAGGGAAAAAAAGGTTTGTTCCAGTTCTGTCTAGTCTATGGATGTGCTCTGGAATTTGTCAGATTTCTACATACAATAAAAAAGTGGTGGTAAAGCCAGTGTTTGCTTATGTATCTAATCTTCATGACATCTATTTAATTGTGCTAAAGTAAAAAGAATATTTATTTTGGAGGGTTGTATTAAATAATCACAGACTACGCTGTACAATCTCATGCCCCATAGGAAGGAATGCCAAATGCATGGACACTCCCCCAGACTGACTTTTATGGAACTCAAATAATTAAATTAGCAATAACAAGCAATATGTTTTTGGCATTTTAAGACTGCTCATTTCAAACTCGGGTTATCTAAATGGCATATCAGTCACGTGGATGGAAGCCATCTTAAAACCTAGGAATGGAGATGGGAGAGAGATTTAACTCAAGGTGTTTTGACTGTGGCACTACTGACATTTGGGGTGGATAAGTCTCTATTGTAGGTTGTTTTCCTGTGCACTGTAGGTTGTTTAGCAGCAGCTCTCCGCTCTACACACAAGATGACAGCAGCACCGCTTCCCACCTCCAAGTTGCGACAACCAAACTGACTCCAGACTTTCCCAAATGTCTCCTAAGGGAAGGGGAGTTGCGGGGGGGATACTCATCCCTGGTTGAGGACCACTGGGTTAGGCAGAACCAAGGAATCCTGTGTTTTGGATCAGTGATACTCAAGGGGTAGGGTTAGAAGAATCATGTGGAGGGCTTTTTCCAGTCATCCATGGCTCTAGAGATTTTGGTGTACAGCTTACACCCCCTCAATTATTTGTACCTCTGTTGCCTACCTCTCATCTCTGTCCAGTGTGCTAGAGTATATCCTGAAATAAATAAAGCAATTTTTAAAAGCCTAAAATATCCTGGGTTAACCAGATGAAATCCCTGAGAGCCCTTTCCCTCATGACAGCCACCGCCAAGCTAATTTCTGGACTCATAAGAGGAAACCTTGAGCTGTGCACACACACGACCATTTTATTGGCAGCCTGAGCACCAGAACTGTTTGGGAGAAAACTGATAAAATTTGTGATAATCCCTGAAGGCTGTAGCACAGAGCAATTAAAAACATTTCCCTTTGTTCTTTCTATAATGCCATCCACACACTGTAGACATGTAGAATCTTTTTTTTATATATAAGCAATAATTCTTTAACTATGATAATGGCTTTCTAAATCACTCTGAATGGTGAGGCGGTCATAATTCTGAAAAAGTGATGCTTTTCGGTAAAGATCAGACACATAGAAACGTGCTTCTTCCACCAGAATAGCTCCGCGCCTCAGGCCCTGGCTTTACATAGCGCTTCACACTTCAGAAAATGCTCCCGCACTCATGATCTTGAGTGAACCTAAACAATCTTGTGAGCGAGGAAAGGCAGGTGTTTTTATCCCCATTTTACAGATGAAACTGGCCCCTCCCGTTATTTATTGGGGGAGTCAGAATTTGAATGCAGCTTGTTCCCTCCCAAAGCCTGTGCTTTTTCTACATCATTTCACAAAAACGGTGCTCTGCCTTAAAGCCATAATGCTAGCCTTCAGATTCCATGCAGTTAGGACTGTTTGCAGAAGGCCTCTCTCTTCCAAAACAACTCCACTATGCTGTATTCATGCAGGTCTGACAAACAGCAGTGAGGCAGTCATCCTTCTTAGCAAGCTACTTAAGATTGGCAAAGCCATATATTTTTCTAATGGAAAAATGTCACCACAGATAAGGAAATCAAGTTACTTAACTCGCCAGGATTCATTAACTAAAGTTGACGTTGCTGCTGACGCTGTAGTTAATGTCCCACAAATTAATCTAACAATACCCGGTAACTCCTTGTTCACAAATCACACACTATAAATGGGGACGACCCTAGAATGATGTCTCTTTTCTTTGTTAGTAAAACTGCCATCCCCTAGCAAGGCTGGCGAGTGCAGGTTAAAAGCTCAGGCTTTGCTACTGGAAGATACTAGGATGAGAAACTGTGCGAATAACAAAGCACCGATGCTTATCTTTAGCTAGACTGGAACGCTGGAAAAGTGACATTTTGGCTAGAAGGAAGGTCTCTGGAGCTATACACAGTGTCTGAGGGGCTCAGGCTGGCTTCTGTGAAAGGGCTCTCCTCTCAGCAGGTCACTCCAAAGGAATGAACTTTCATCTGTGATCCAATTGGCCACCTTTCTGAATATCAGCCTCAGGAAGTCAGTTTATATTTACATCTTGTGAAAGCATGACCAAGCAAATAGGTAATACTAACCTCATCTATAGCTTTCTTATAGCTCTGAGATAAGAGGAAACCAATCCAGAAGAATCCACATGAGGGGGAAAAGCCGGAAGAAAGGCAGCAGGTTAGACACAAAATGGAAATTGTTAGTACACAACTGATAAATGCAAAAAGGGCAAGAAGAACCTCAACCCAGAATGGTGTGAATGCCCTTCATTGTTACCCTCACTGTACTTCCTTACTTTAAAATGTAATAAAATAAAGTAAACGAAAACATCTTCACATCCATTTCACAGAAAAGATTCTTGGAAAATTTAAATAAAATAAGTATATAATAACCCATTCCAAATTAATTTTCAAATTTCCACCTCCATCTTCTTATTTCTTTCTTTAAGGCTATTTGGGGTCTGACGTGTTACAGCAATGAAGCTAGATTTCAGGTTGTCAGCCCCCTATCAGACCATGCTTATCAAGTTTTGGTCTAGAAAATACAGTCCTAGAGCAGCAGAAATGCAGCAGAAAAACTGTAATATTAATTCATGTGGAAAATAATATAGGAAAAGGCTAAAGTAAAAAGAATATACAAGAAAAATCCATAGGAAGTGCCCAAATATTCTTAATTGTTACTTTCAACATCTTTTCGCTAAAGCTGCTGAGTAGAAATTATGGAATAATGTGAGTTATTTCTCTTCCTGTTTTATTCGGTAACATAGTGCTAATGATCAGCAAAATAACCAAGAGTAGATAAGCAACCCAAGATCTGTTCATTTCTTTCCTAATCAGGTATGACTTCCTTCCAGATGCTCCTAGCATCCGTTCTTATTAATCTCAACATTTTTTGTTTCATAGTCATGAGTGCATCCCCAACCACTTTATCCTGCGGGTTCTCTGGGAAATTAAAAGAGTTCAAAACTGTTTGAGAGAAAAGCACTCACAGCCGGTCGACTAGGTCGGGTAATTTCCCTGGATTCTTCAGGTTTCACCTTGGAAGGCTCATGGGGGAGCACAGGTGATCCTTCCGACTTACTGTTGGCTAGAGAAAAAAAACAGAGGGCCAAGAAAGATAATGACCGTCAGAAGGTGCTGGCTCAAGTTCTGGAGTTCTGTGGTGAGTCAGCCTTGGAAATGACTCAGCGGACACCTCATTCACTTAGGCAAATCCTCAAGCACATCCGTGAAAAAACAGTAAATGTTCAGGCAAACAAAATCAGCCATACGCATTTAGTCTTATAACCTGGAGGTCACTGGTAATTATATGAAAAACTAGCCAGCACCGCCATTTACTGAGCACTAATTCTGTGTCAGGCTTCGTGCTAAACGCTTTCTATGTCAATTGTCTCGTTGAATCCTTGCTCCAACCCAATGACGAGGCACTGTTTTCCTGTACGACAGTTGAACACAGAGAGATGACACAACTGGCCTAAGGTTACACTGAAGTTATGTGCAGAGGTGGGATTCCGTATGATTTCTCAAAGTCCTATTCTCAATTATTAGACTAAACCAGCCTCCGAGTTAGCATCCTATGTTTGATTTCTTCCTTTACCACTTACCCATCAGGATAAGTTTTTCTGATGAACTGTTGTAGAAAAAAGTAGAAACCTGTTTTATTTGGAGGAACGATTTTTAAATGGGGGGAGGAAAGGGGAGTTGTCTAGGGTGAGGGCAGGAAGGAGAGTGTTGGTGATAAGGCGGAAGGGCCCTAGAATAGAGGTTATAGAGCAAGGGCTGGGGGAGGGCTGCCTGACAGCTACAAGTGAAGAGCATCCCTCCGATTTATAAGCTTATAGGTAGAGAAGAAGCAATCTAAGGTGGGAGAGATTCTTTTGTTTGGTTTCAAAGTGGTCTTTCCTGGGTAGGGATACACCAGGGATATGAGTGCTTTTAACCCAGGAAAACTAAAGGCCAAAGGAAAGAAGATAAGAATTAAACCTGAACCAGATCAGAGAATTAAAATGGTATACCTAAGTTTGGTTTTCTTTAGCATTTGCTCTAACTAAGCAAATTAAGTTGCTTATGAATAGAAAAAAGGTAAGGGAATGGCAGTTTTCCAAAGTAAGTAACTTTATATCTGGATCAAGGCAACAAAAGTATACATAGCTCCGGGTGGTGCCACTGATGTCAGAAGACTGCACACAGGGGCAGCCACAGGCCAGTTCCTATCCCAATTCATAGACACAAGCATTGCACGTCTGACATCGACCTTTCCAAAATGTACATACATTTGAGTTTACTCAAAGAAATATTAGGAGGTAAAGTATAATTGTGTCTAATGAAGAGGCTAAGAGAGAATAACGAACTGGTGATTTTCATTAGGCAGAGTAATTTATAAGTGTTTTCCAAATTGCACTTCAAAAAAATCCCGGTCTTTATTACTTGGAGGCCAAATTATCTTCTGAAGAAGATTATGCAGAAAGAGTACATTTTGATTAGCTATAAACAATAGGTTATCATGTATAATTAGCTGGACACATTAATGTTTTTCACAAGCTTCCTCATTAATGAAAACTAAGCAATGAAGAATGACTTGAATTAAATGGTCAGAGAGGCTAATTTTTACCTCTCTAATAGGAAAAACCAGAAGAGTCAAGTGTACTTTTTAAGTCATAGATTTTATATCTTCTCTCAAGTGTATATTTATTCTACATTAGCCTTTATTAACTTTCCCTTTGAAAAATACCTTGTATTCTGAACACAGTTGACACAAGGGGAAGAGAATACTTGGGGGTCCATGAAACTCTAACCAATCAATCAAATGGAAATGGAAATGCAGGTGACTGATGACTACGTTTTCAAGTAAGACCAATATTCTGTGATCTCCCTGGAGAACACTGGTATCTGCAATTAGAAAGCATTTAGTCCACACTGATGTCACACATATAACTGGGGATGGTGGTCCACTCCCCTAAGGAGACTGAGGCTGAGAGCAGTTAAGCGGCTCTTCAGCGTCACACAGTGGTGGCCACGCCAGGACCAGAAGTCCTAGAAGTCAGGAAGTAATCTGGTTCCCTGTGCCTGGCTCTCCTCCTCAGGGAATGCTGTCCTGGAAAGGTAGGGGAAAGCGTTACCTCGAACCCTGGTCCGTTCACTGGATCCTGCTTGTGACCCAGGTTGAGAGCCTCCTTGGGAGCTGGGCTGGGAGCTAGGGGTGCTGGAGCTGGAGGAACTGCCACTGCTGGTCCTCTGCAAGGGGCTCTCCACGATGGGCTCAGTTCTCCGGAGGTCAGGGTTGCTGCATGGACAGCAGAGCACAGAGATTACACTCTCAAGACCTTGCCACTGGTAGACACAAGCATAGTCCAGTCCCATCCCCAGTACAAAGGGGTAAAGAGAGTACCTATATGACCTTGCATTACAGGGGTCAATGGTAATGACAGTCATGCTATCCTCTGTGGAGCTCCTGGCCAGATTCTGCATCTGGACGGGAAGAACTCTTGACCCAACTCCTGGGTCATCACACCAAACGTATTAGCTCTGAAATGGTGAATCTTTAAAGGAGGCTTTCTTTTAAACCCCTTTTCCTATTCTCATTGTAAAACACTTGAAAATATTACAAGATAAAAATAAGGAAGCAATGCTTGCAACCTCTGAATCAAGAGATATTCAACTATATTTTACTGGATGGAATATTATCTTCTAGTCTTTTTACTTTTGTATGTATGGAAGCACACTGTATATTCAATGTTGTGTCTTGTTTTTTTCCCCTTTAGACTGCATTGAGAGCAGCTTCTTATGCTTCTAAAAACAATAATAGCTGCATAGTATTCCATAATATAGACAAATTAGTTCAACCATTCTTCTATTGTTAGGTGCTTCCAATACATGGCTATTATACATAACAGTGAAATAACCATCTAGATGCATACAAATATTCACAATCACATCTCTCCTAGAACTGGAATTCTTGGGTGGAATGGCATGGACTTAGGTATGTATGTGCACATATATATGTATGTGAATGTATAAACATACTGCCAGTTTTCACTGAAGTGTATGAGAGGATCCATCTCACTGAATCCTTACCAGGCTTTATTATGAACAGCTAACTAATTTGTAAAAAATTGTTTCTTGTTGCTTTAGTGCAGTTTTTAACAATTAAGTGAAGTAAGTCAGAAAGAGAAAAACAAATACCATATGCTAATACATATATATGGAATAAAAAAAAATGTTCTGAAGAACCTAGGGGCAGGACAGGAATAAAGACGCAGATGTAAAGAACGGACTTGAGGGCACGGGGAGGGGGAAGGGTAAGCTGGGACGAAGTGAGAGAGTGGCATGGACATATATACACTACCAAATGTAAAATAGATAGCTAGTGGGAAGCAGCCGCATAGCACAGGGAGATCAACTCGATCCTTTGTGACAACCTAGAGGGGTGGGATAGGGAGGTTGGGAGGGAGATACGAGAGGGAGGAGATATGGGGATATATGTATATGTATAGCTGATTCACTTTGTTATACAGCAGAAACTAACACAACATTGTAAAGCAATTATACTCCAATAAAGATGTTATTAAAAAAATGTAATTCTATGCTTTCCTTCTGCTCTGCCCATTTCAGGAGTATTAAGTGGGTAACAGGTACTCTGCACTGTGTTGGGTGTCAGATGCTTCATGTATAAATGTGAAAATAATATGGTCCCTTCCCTTGAGACACTTGCAGTTTGGTCTGTTAAAATCTGGCCACAAAATGGCATCATTAAAGCAGCAACTAAAGCAAATAATTTTTTTCTGAAAACACAAGAGTCTTGCTTTGCAGTAACGTATTTGGCGATAATATTTGGTCGAGATGCAAAAATTCTTAAATATTGGGTTATTGGAAGACATGGCTGGTGGTCTTGGAAAACAAGTGAAAATAAAATATGTCCTTATAATTTATTAATTTTGATCATACAAATGTAGAATTTATGACAATATTCACCTCTTAAATTTTTTATGGTAAAGGGGTTGCTAAGTCAACCTAACAGTAAAACTGACTGCAGAAGTGAGTGTTGGTAAACTTAAGGAAAACTTTAAAAATTCTTGATATTTTTATGGCACTCCTTTGAGTAGTAATTATTTTTGTGAAAACTGTTAGCATTTAATTGATTGAAATAGATTTGGATCCATAATGGAAATACCTCCCTCCTGTTTGGAGAATACCTAAAATGATAAATGTGTGATACTTCTGCAATATGCCACCTTTCAAATTTTTCATTTTGTTTCCCAAAAGAAACAATCCTATCTCCTTTCGTTCCCAAATAATGAATTCTTCCCCACTGCCCTCTTTCATTAAACAGTAGTGGTCAAGAATTATTTATGTATAATTAATAAATTCTAAAAATATTTTTTCTAAAAATTATATTACGGGTCAAGGGTGATGGGCATACTAAGGTTTCTTGGTGGTTGCTCTCATTTTGTGGAGATGTAATGTAGTGTTCTTTGTATGAAAAAAAAAATCTACGAAGAGAATACAGTTCAGTGAGTTCTGAGTATTTTCCCTGGCAGCTGTGGTGTGGTTAGCACCACAGCTCTTTGCTCGAATACAGCACTCCTTTGATCATTTAACCAAAACCTTTCTATTAAATACCTGCTTTGTGAGACCAGTGGACCAGTTTGAGGGATGGAGGAGAGTACAGGTCACAGGGCAGACAGTCAAGGTACAACATAATCCTAGAGGTGAGACATGTGCGGTGGAGACAACAGCCAGCAAGGCAAAACTCCATGTGCTGTGTGAGCGTCTGCAAATGGTGTTGGAGTTTACGAAACAAGGCACGCAGCCTGGAGTGGTCAACAGTGGTGTCAGGAAGGAGACAGGACTTGATTGGGCTTCAGAGGGGTGGGGGAAGAGTGAGAGCAGACATCGACTGGGGTTTTCCTGGGGCTTGTTGATATAAAGAGGACGCCACCCTGACTGGGGACCAAGTCTGCGTTAGGAAACCCCGGAAGAGTGGGTCATCAGAAGAAATGGGCGGCTTATGCAGCAATGGCCTTAACGTCTGGCAGAGAACATGGGCCAGCTTATGAATGACTGGTCAGGACGGAGGCAGGCTGACCAGATAGGAGGCTGCTGCCACGTTAGATGATAAGGCCCAGACCAGGGTCGTCCTGGCATAAAAGAGTGGCCTGGGTATCAGCAGAACCAGCGGGATGAGCCTGCGTCTCTGACTGGGGCTCAAGGGCCTCTTTCAGTGTGAAGTTAATTGGATCCCATGGGCATTAAATCCCTGACCTGGGCCTTGTTAGTACAAGTCCCCTCCAACTGGAGCTAACCAGTGTGGGTGCTGATCTTAATAGGGTGCTATTTTTGCTGCTGGAGTCTGAAAGAAGTGTTTAGTGTCTAGGTAACCACACATAGAAAGAGGGAAACCTTTGAAATGCTTTTCTACCTTATTTGCTTTTTTGGTAAAATATGAGTGTTTTGAGAAAATGTCACACTGTTCATATTTTTCTCTTCCTTATTATGTTGTAATTTAGTCTGGCCTAGGGGCCAAGGGGGCTGAGATAAATGCTCTTAGCGGGGATCAATTTTAGAAGAATTCCATGAAATAACAGATTTCCCTTGTCCATATACTAACTGAGCCTACTGAGATCCAAATGTGTAAAAACTTGAAAACATTCATATAGATTTCTTTAAATGCTAACTGTTAGCTCAGACATTTGCCATCCTGCAGAGAATGCTGTTCGGTCTATAAAACACACAGTAAAGTGAAAATTATTCCATTTACTTGAGTCATAGAAAAAAGTCAAAACAGAAAATTAGGATTACAAAGTGATTTCTTGGCCCAAATACTAGGGCCAAGTCTATAATTAACTGGCTGCCCACCAAAATTCATTTTACTTTGTTCTTTGATGACATAGCAAATGAGAACAAACAAGCCATAAGAAGACAGGTTTGGGATGGGGTGGAGAATTATTTTTTGAAATTAAGCATTTAGTCATTGGGTTTTGACTGGGTGTTATTGGATTAATTTAAATCTTTTCATACTCTGAATGTACTTGTTTAATCAAATTTTAATGTGCTTTAAAAGAACACATGAATCAAAGTTAAATGTTAAAGTGCATGGTAGGTTTTAAAACAGAAATTTAAAAAATGAACAAATCAAATCATGATTTAAACTCAACTGTTCACCTTGACATTTAAGGCAGTATAAGGCATTTGGGAGTCTATACAGTATTGCAAAGGACAAAATATTTAAAAGCAACCCTTTTTTTTTTATGGCTTTATGGATGGGCAGTTGTCTGACAAATGGTACAAAAAGAACTATGAGGACTTTATTAGAACCAATAGAAAGTAAGACAGTCTCTATGTTCAGTAACAGCCTCCCTCCCACTCCGCTCCCACCACCCGTGAATCACATCTCCCATTGTCTGTGCCCCTGTGTATTTCCTTTACACACTGACTCTGGGCTTGGCCGTGTGACTTGTGGTTGCCAATGGGACATCAGTAAAGATGATAGAAGCAAAGGCTTCAAAAGTGCTTGTGTATTGGGGCTTTCCCTCTTGGGATGCTGTCCTGAAATCACCAAACTGTCAAGAAGCCCAGGATGAAAGACCACACGAAGGTACAGCTGACCTATCAGCTCAGTGCAGCTGCAGAAGCAAGCCCAGGTGAGACCAGTGGAACAACTTTGCAGCCAACCCACAGAATCGTGCACAATAAGAAATTGTTACTATCTCAGGCCACTATGTCTTGGCACGCTTTATTATGCAACAAAGGTGAACTAAAGCCATCTCTAGCACAGTAAATATTCCAAATCCCAAAACGTTTGCAAAGTCTGATTCACATTTGTTTTGCGGTACGCGTGCCTCTCACTATTGTGGCCTCTCCCATTGCGGAGCACAGGCTCCGGACGCGCAGGCTCAGCGGCCATGGCTCACGGGTCCAGCTGCTCCGCAGCACGTGGGATCTTCCTGGACCGGGGCACGAACCCGCATCCCCTGCATCGGCAGGCGGACTCTCAACCACTGCGCCACCAGGGAAGCCCTGATTCACATATTAAATGCTGGTCACTTAGAGATACATGACAGCAAGGAACAGGCTTGTTGGGCAGATTGTTTCACAAGGCAGAGATAGGGATTCTCCATCCTCCCCCTCCCCTGCAATGCCTCTGACTTTCATTGCAGGTAAATAATTATTACCTCTTAGCTCACTTCCTCTCTACCTTTTCTGTAAGCAGAAAAACATTAGTTGTCTTCACAAGGTCTGCATTCTTTGTAAAAAGTACAATGTTTAAGAGGTTCCAAGGGAAAAGCACATGATTTGCAAACCACTGACCATCAAACACCAGTTATCTTAGGGCCTTAATATCATTAAAATAATATTTCAGAGGGAACAAAGAGCTGCTTTTTATTTGGCTATAGAATGACAGTTCTTTCTTTTTGGTTGAGAGAGGGAAAAAGATTTAAAGTTGAAACGATGCTTGATCTATAGCAACTAAACTTCTAAACAACTGATCTAATGAACACAGCCTTGAAGGCAGGGTTCCAATGAGCAAGAAGCACTGATAATTGGGGGCTTATCACAGCTCGAAGAGGGGGACTGATAAAGTTCAGGCCAGCAATCCAGCCTGACATTCCTTTGGCTCCCTGGTCACAGTCCGCTCCAGGCTTCCTCAGCTGCTCCCAGCACCAGCTCAGCGTGAACCTGACGAGTCACTGGACAAAAACTGCTCGTTGGCAACTCCACTCAGACGAGCTAGCTTCTTTGCCCTCAAGGGATGGATGTTTTTAGTGCAGTTCCATCTTATTTATGGACTGACCCCTTCCTAAGGCTTTCCATGTGAAGAGGAAAATGAAAGCTTTATGATCAAAAGCATTCCATATTTTAGGATCTGTACAAATGGTCATAACCTTCATTTTCAGTCTCCCCTTCTCTTTGACTAGCAAGAGTGCTCTCATGAACACAATGAAGACGGATAAAACAGCCTGCCCAAGTTCCTTTTTATAGTCTCAGCAGAGGCCATTTGCTATTTCAGTTGATCCTAAAAAGGAGTGTACTCTTCATGAAAAATCTGAGGGAAGCTTGATGGACTACAGCAGCAAACAGCATCTGTTACCACATAAAATCTGCTCAGATACTGTAAGGATATTGTTTATTTTCCAGCTTCTCCGCTTGAGCACTCGACACCAACCAGTAGGTGGACGCAACTTCCTGATTGTAGGAATATACAGGGTCGGTAGAAAATTCTAGGAGAGCACAGAGTGACAGTGGGAGCATCACTGTATTTCAGTGATGCTCCTTAATGCCAGAGGTGATTTCCTCGTGAGAGCGAGTTCTTCTGTAATTTGCAGAACTAGGGAAGTTCTGCAGCTGGTGGCCACAGCATTTCTATGGCAATTACTGTCTCAATAGCTCCCACGGCACATTTCTTGGCCTGATGCTAAAACCAACTCAGATCAGGCCATTTTGTTTGGCTGGCTTCACGAAATGGTCTCTGAAGTAACGGTCAGGGGCGCTGCACCCAGACTTCTATTTGCAGTCTTACTCCCACGTTTAAAAAACTGCCAAGTAAGGTAAACCTGGTTGGATTCTGGGCTGATTCATTCGTTGACCCTGTGATTCATTGACTCGTTCATTCATGAGCCCTCACTGTACACTGATTTCTGTGAAAGGCTACTGAAGAAATAAAAGACATGTGTCTGGTCCACCAAAGCTTACAGTCTGGGTGGCCAGCCAACATGCCTCTGAAGTGAAAAAAGAACAAAGACATTTTTTAAGGAAAGCAACAATGACAATGGTAGGTGGGGACTTCTCCCTTCAACTTACCCATCTTCCTTCCCTTACCTTGCTCTGATGGGTTGAGATCCTAGTCTGGGTCCCAGAGCACTACCATTTCCAGGAGAATTCTTTCTCGCTAATGCTGGGGATATAGAAGTTGTTCTTTGAGGCACCTGAAAGAAAACCAGAATTCAGAGATATTTTCCATAAAATAGCTTCCACAGGGTTCCGCCTGAAAAGCAAGCTACTCCTTTCCTAAGATCTGCCAGGAGATACAGAACTATCAGAAACAGGAAAGAAACATCTTGCATTTCTCAAAGAAATAGTTAACTCCCTAAACAAAATCAAACGAAAGGCAATGAGGCACATTTCAGCCACCATTAGGGAGTACAAAGTGCTCAATTTTAAAAACAAATTTAGAAACAGACCAAGCGGATTATTTTGATTCACTGGGCTAAAATAATTGATTCCCTTCATTTGCACAAGAGTGGTGGATATCAGAAATTTCTCTGGGGTATCATTAACTCAGCTGATCATTGGAAATTGCATCTGATGAGACATCCAGATAAACCGAGTTCCATTTTTAACTCACAATACAACTGATAAACAGGTAAGGAAATTATGAAATCTGGTGAGAAATTAGGGTATCAGGCTAGAACTTGGGACATAAGCCACATGTTAGTGAGCTCAGAAAAACTACTGCAATAGATCCTGAACGGTTCTACTTCCTAATCAACTTGCAATTTCTAATTAAAAACAAACCGCCAACACTGAACTTTGGAAGGTCAATTTGCAAATGTGATACAAAACAGGACTAATACTGAAAATACTGGAAGGTCTTCAAAAAACTATGTGAATACCAGTCAGACTGTGAGGTACGGTAGGAAAACGTACCATTACCTTATCTGTCAAGGGCCTAAGGTAGAATTCAAGTATGCCTCATGTTAGGAAACATTTTCTAATGAAATCAAATACTGGTAAGTGCACCAAAGGAGTTCAACATGAGGGGAGAGTAGAGGAAAAACTTACTTTATGAAAAGTGACTAGGAAATGAAAATGTACATCTCCTGTGACGGCTGGTTGGGCTAAACATTCATGAGGTGCTTCAACTTTTATTTATTTTTGGAGGCCCTTTTAAAGTAGGTTTATATTTTGTACTAGGTATTTTTAAATTATGCTTTGTTTTAATATTATGTTTGTATATTAAATGATATTTAACACTAATACGGATCTTATTGGCTATTATAATACATTTTAAGATAAAGACCTAGAAAGATGAGTCAGTGAAGTGAAGCAGAATAACCGAATCAGTGTTCCCACCTGCTCAAATTAAATATTACTCTCACTAGTTTTCCTTTTGCACTTGGTCAAATGAAACAGTTGTAGAGAGAGACAGTCTAATGAATTATTAAAACCTAAAATCTTTGTATTGATCTAAATTTTTCCTCCCAGAGTTATAAGTGTGTGCCTGCGTGTTTTTAGAGAGTGGACCCATAACGTCAAATGTTTCCCCAGCTCTCCTGTCTGCTCCTCTGCCCATCCTATTCTCTAGATTGAACTTTGCTCCATAACTAACCTTTTCTGATGGCATCTCTGCTTCCACAAGATGAGAACAACAACAAAAGAGCCATTATCAGCTAATTTCACTTTCAAAATAACAGAAATCCTGGTATAATATCCTTCTGAGAGGAAAAATATTTGAAAATCATTGGGTAAAAAGGTCTTATTTCTTTCTGGAATCAACAATGGCATCGATTTCTGGAAATTGTGGGACATTCCATTTGTCATAGCTCCTATGCTGAGTTCAGGAGAAAGGGGAATCCTGAACCAGGAAGAATCTGATGCAAAAATTTCTACAGTATTTTGATGTTTCCAGGTTGTCTGTAGTGAGATGCATGGCCACGTTTTAGGACATTTTTTGGAATGTACAACAACTTGGTATAGGCAAAAACAAAACAAATGAAACCAAACCAGTGGAATGGCTGGTCATTTTACCCTAGAGTTTAATCCTCAGTAATCAATTAAGGCTGGAATTAAATCACAACCTGGCCTAGAAGGAACTTTCCTTAAGTGGAGCCAACTAAAATATTCCAAGAGCATTACTATCTTCTGAACATTTGAAACCTGTTTTCACTTTGGGTTATTAAAAATAGGAATAAAAAAATTCCTTACTTTTTAATCTGGAAATTTTAAATTTGTCTAGACATAGATTAAGTAATCGATGAAAATATCCATATTATTCTATTTCTTAAGATGGATAGTTAAAAGAACAGTTTGGAATGCTTGGGGTTGCGAGTTCTAATTCTGGATACAGGATATATGCTTCCAAGTCATTCAGTCTACCTGAGCCTCCATTTCTTTGGGGAAAATGGAGATCAGAAATGATAAACGACAATCCAAGTCTTAGCTTGGGAATGAGGAGGGACCAAAACAAACGCAAGAATGGATGGTACTTTGGTGCCAGGTTCTTCAATGCTATGAATGGTCTGGAACGGGGGTAATAACAATGATAACAGTAATAGTAATAATAAGAATAATAACAAACAATGATGACGATGATGGTGATGTCGATAAAAACCCCAGTAATATTACCTTTGGTGGAATGTCTTCTTCCTGTCGTAACCAAGAGCTTCGGTCAAACTTCTCAATGCGAGTGGGGAGAGGCGGGTTTTCAGAGGTGGGATCCGAGTTCTGGCGCGGCATCTCCACACGGTGAGAGCTCACGTTCAGAGCCTCCTGAAACCCAGAGAGGCCCTTCGTGGGCTGCTCGTGCACCGACTGGGAGGCGGTCAAGGCAGGTCCCTGGGATTTCACAGCTACCAGATGTGGGATCTAAGCATCAAACCAACATCACAGCAGTGTTATTAGAAGAAAAAGCAGATCAGCTAGGACCTCACTCAGGAGAAGGGAAAATAAAATTTTAGGGAGAAAGAACCAGAGTACGCAGAGCCCATCACCGTTCTCTGCAGCATGCTTTTCAAAGCCCCCCCAAATTTCCCATTTAGAGCTGGAGGGCTTGACCAGGGTTCCTGGCAAAGAGTTAAATGATTGACTTGGGACTGCTAAGAAGTCGGTGAAATAAGTGTCATGATAATGATTTTTAGTGAACATTTACTGAGCAGCAATACAATATATTTACAAGCACTTCTCTTCTAATGTTACAAACTTCCTCCTTTCAACCTCCTAACTTTGACTTCAGAGAGTGCTCTGTGAAACAAGAATTGCTCTGAACATCTTACTTCTTGTGAACTCACTAAATCGACCATGAGACGGACACAATTATTTTCCTCATGAGAATGTAAGGATTAGAGAGGGTAAGTAACAACCTAGATTTCACAGTTAATACGTGCCAGAACCTGGATTATAACCCACACGTACGCTTAATTGTAGTTCCGGTATTGTAACCCCACAGCCTAACTGCTACACTATGCTGCTTTCTGGTGAACTGGCTCTTACCAGCTAGGATATTATATAACTCTCGAGACCAGGACGTTTCTTTTAGAGTTGTGGTAAGTCTCACAATTTGGCATGTGTTGATGTTGTTCATGCAGGGAAGAAATGTAGTCTTTAGGCAGAAGGGTGGCTTTTTAAGACAAATCATGAACATCTAGAGTTCAGAGTACCCCTTACCATTAGCACTGTTCACACTTCATTGTGCTCATGTGAGCCTGAGTCCCCCTCCATCACACAGGTAAGCTCCTCAGAGACAAGAGCCATGTCTGACCTCCTGACCTCTCTGAGTCTAGCACCATGCCTGGCATGGGAAGGTGCTCAGTCAATCTTGGCTGGGAAAACATCTAGAGACTTTCTAAATTAAACTGTTAATTCCACAAACATTAATCTAGTATCTGCTTTGTACAAGGGACCTACCAGACCCTCTCTGGATTGAAATCTCAGTGCCCAGACTGCTGGGGAGCATCTCTATAGCCCTCCTCCACCAGCCTGGCCCCGTTCCTCTTGCCCTTGAGGTCTTATCCCTGGAGCAGCCCTGCCCCAGCCTCTTTAGACTATCCTGGGTCTGAAACCTGCAATGTTATTCATTATGGTTCAGAGGCAATTCTCAAAGTCCAGTTCAATGGAATGTTATGCTTCAACCAGAATAGAACTGTAGCCAATCAAATTTATATTAAGGGTAAATATCATTAAATATATTAAGTATCAATATGAAAACAAAGCCTATCTTACAAATATGTAGTACATGCGCCCCAATGTTCATAGCAGCACTGTTTACAACAGCCAAGACACGGAAGCAACTTAAATGTCCATCGACAGAGGAATGGATAAAGAAGATGTGGTACGTATATACAATGGAATATTACTCAGCCATAAAAAGGAACGAAATATTGCCATTTGCAGCAACACGGATGGACCCAGAGATTATCATACAAAGTGAAGTAAGTCAGAAAGAAAAAAAGACAAATACAATAAAGTAGAATTATATGTGGAATCTAAAATATGACAAAAATGAACTTATCTATGAAATAGACTCACAGACATTGAGAACAGATTTGTGGTTGCCAAGGCGGAGGGGGTTGGGGAAGGAACGTATTGGGAGTTTGAGATTAACAGATGCGAACTATCATGTATAGAATGGATAAACAACAAGGTCCTACTGTATAGCACAGGGAACTATATTCAGTATCCCGTGATAAACCATAATGGAAAAGAATATGAAAAAGAATATAATATGTTTATGTTTAACTGAATCACTTTGCTGTAAAACAGAAACTAACACAACATTGTAAATCAACTATACTTCAATAAAATAAATTTTAAAAAATGTAGTACAAAACACAAACCTACTTTAAAAGAGCCTCCAAAATAAAAACAAAAATTGAAGCTCCTGAAGAATGTTTAATCCAATTAGCTGTCACAGGGTATCTACATTTTCATTTCCTACTCACTTCAATAGAGTTTCATAAGTTTTCCCTCTACTTCCCCCTTTTACAGGGCAATAGTATCCTAAAAGGTCAAAGTTAGGGGCTTTTTAAAGAGGAAGTTTGTGTGTTAAAAGAAAAGTTTCTATAAAAATGTACCCCATGGACAAACCTCTTAGATAGCCTCATCCACCACAGGGCAGACAGCAGAAGCAAGAAGAACTACAATCCTGCAGCCTGTGGAACAAAAACCACACTCACAGAAAGACAGACAAGATGAAAAGGCAGAGGGCTATGTACTAGATGAAGGAACAAGACAAAACCCCAGAAAAACAACTAAATGAAGTGGAGATAGGCAACCTTCCAGAAAAAGAATTCAGAATAATGATAGTGAAGATGATCCAGGACCTCATCCTGGAAAAAGAATGGAGGCAAAGATTAAGAAGATGCAAGAAATGTTTAACAAAGACCTAGAAGAATTAAAGAACAAACAAACAGAGATGAACAATACAATAACTGAAATGAAAAATACACTAGAAGGAATCAAGAGCAGAATAACTGAGGCAGAAGAATGGATAAGTGACCTGGAAGACAGAATGGTGGAATTCACTGCTGTGGAACAGAATAAAGAAAAAAGAATGAAAAGAAATGAAGACAGCCTAAGAGACCTCTGGGACAACATTAAACGCAACAAGATTCGCATCATAGGGGTCCCAGAAGGAGAAGAGAGAGAGCAAGGACGCAAGCAAATATTTGAAGAGATTATAGTTGAAAACTTCCCTAACATGGGAAAGGAAATAGCCACCCAAGTCCAGGAAGTGCAGGATAAACCTAAACAGGATAAACCCGAGGAGAAACACACTGAGACACACAGTAATCAAATTGGCAAAAATTAAAGACAAAGAAAATTAATGAAAGCAGCAAGGGAAAAATGAAAAATAACATACAAGGGAACTCCCATAAGGTTAACAGCTGATTTCTCAGCAGAAACTCTACAAGCCAGAAGGGAGTGGCATGACATATTTAAAGTGATGAAAGGGAAGAACCTACAACCAAGATTACTCTACCTGGCAAGGATCTCACTCAGATTCAAGGGCGAAATCAAAAGCTTTACAGACAAGCAAAATCTAAGAGAATTCAGCACCACCGAACCAGCTCTACAACAAATGCTAAAGGAACTTCTCTAAGAGAGAAACAGAAGAGAAGAAAAGGACCTACAAAAACAAACCCAAAACAATTAAGAAAATGGTAATAGGAACATACACATTGATAATTACTTTAAACATGAATGGATTAAATGTTCCAACCAAAAGACACAGTCTCGGTGAGTGGATACAAAAGCAAGACCCATATATATGCTGTCTGCAAGAGACCCAATTCAGACCTAGGGACACATACAGACTGAAAGTGAGGGGATGGAAAAAGATATTCAATGCAAATGGAAATCAAAAGAAAGCTGGAGTAGGAATACTCATATCAGATAAAATAGACTTTAAACTAAAGAATGTTACAAGAGGGCTTCCCTGTTGGTGCAGTGGTTGAGAGTCCGCCTGCTGATGCAGGGGACATGGGTTCGTGCCCCGGTCTGGGAAGATCCCACATGCTGTGGAGCGGCTGGGCCCGTGAGCCATGGCCGCTGAGCCTGCGCGTCCGGAGCCTGTGCTCCGCAACGGGAGAGGCCACAACAGTGAGAGGCCCATGTACCGCAAAAAAAAAAAAAAAAAAAGAATGTTACAAGACACAAAGAAGGACACTACATAATGATCAAGGGATCAATCCAAGAAGAAGATATAGCAATTATAAATATGTATGCACCCAACACAGGAGCACCTCAATACATAAGGTAACTGCTAACAGCTATAAAAGAGGAAATCGACAGTAACACAATAATAGTGGGGGATTTTAACACCTCACTTACACCAATGGACAGGTCATCCAAACAGAAAATTAATAAGGAAACACAAGCTTTAAATGACACAATAGACCAGATAGGTTTAATTGATATTTATAGGACATTACATCCAAAAACAGCAGATTACACTTTCTTCTCAAGTGTGCACGGAACATTCTCCAGGATAGATCACATCTTGGGTCACAAATCAAGCCTTAGTAAACTTAAGAAAATTGAAATCATATCAAGCATCTTTACTGACCACAATGCTATGAGATTAGAAATCAATTATAGGGGAAGAAAACCATAAAAAACACAAACACATGGAGGCTAAGCAATACATTACTAAATAACCAAGAGCCCACTGAAGAAATCAAAGAGGAAGTTAAAAAATACCTAGAACAAAGGACAATGAAAACACGATGACCCAAAACCTATGGGATGCAGCAAAGCAGTTCTAAGAGGGAAGTTTATAGCTATACAAGCCTACCTCAAGAAACAAGAAAAATCTCAAATAAACAATCTACCTTACATCTAAAGGAACTAGAGAAAGAAGAACAAACAAAACCCAAAGTTAGCAGAAGGAAAGAAATAATAAAGATCAGAGCAGAAATAAATGAAATAGAAACAAAGAAAACAATAGCAAAGATCAATAAAACTAAAAGCTGGTTATTTGAGAAGATAAGCAAATTGATAAACCATTAGCCAGACTCATCAAGAAAAAGAAGAAGAGGACTCAAATCAATAAAATTAGAAATGAGAAAGGAGAAGTTATAACAGACACCGTAGAAATACAAGGCATCCTAAGAGACTACTACAAGCAACTTTATGCCAATAAAATGGACAACCTGGAAGAAATGGACAAATTCTTAGAAAGGTATAACCCTCCAAGACTGAACCAGGAAGAAATAGAAAATATGAACAGACCAATCACAAGTAATGAAATTGAAACTGCGATTAAAAATCTTCCAACAAACAAAAGTGCAGGACCAGACAGCTTCACAGGTGAATTCTATCAAACATTTAGAGAAGAGCTAACACCCATCCTTCTCAAACTCTTCCAAAAAACTGAAGAGGAAGGAACACTCTCAAACTCATTCTGTGAGGCCATCATCACGCTGATACCAAAACCAGACAAAGATACTACAAAAAAAGAAAATTACAGACCAATATCACTGATGAATATAGGTGCAAAAATCCTCAACAAAATGCTAGCAAACAGAATCCAACAACACATTAAAAGAATCATACACTACGATCAAGTGGGATTTATCTCAGGGATGCAAGGATTCTTCAATATATGCAAATTGATCAATGTGATACACCATATTAACAAATTGAAGAAGGAAAACCATATGATCATCTCAATAGATGCACAAAAAGCTTTTGACAAAATTCAACACCGATTTATGATAAAAACTCTCCAGAAAGTGGGCATAGAGGGAACCTACCTCAACATAATAAAGGCCATATATGACAACCCCACAGCAAACATCATTCTCAATGGTGAAAAACTGAAAGCATTTCCTCTAAGATCAGGAACAAGACAAGGATGTCCACTCTCACCAATATTATTCAACATAGTTTTGGAAGTCCTAGCCACGGCAATCAGAGAAGAAAAAGAAATAAAAGGAATACAAATTGGAAAAGAAGTAAAACTGTCACTGTTTGCAGATGACATGATACTATACATAGAGAATCGTAAAGATGCCACCAGAAAACTACTAGAGCTAATCAATGAATTTGGTAAAGTAGCAGGATACAAAATTAATGCACAGAAATCTCTTACATTCCTGTACACTAGTGATGAAAAATCTGAAAGAGAAATTAAGGAAACACTCCCATTTACTATTGCAACAAAAAGAATAAAATACCTAGGAATAAACCTACCTAGGGAGACAAAAGACCTGTATGCAGAAAACTATAAGACACTGATGAAAGAAATTAAACATGATACAAACAGATGGAGAGATATACCATGTTTTTGGACTGGAAGAATCAATATTGTGAAAATGACTATACTACCCAAAGCAATCTACAGTTTCAATGCAATCCCTATCAAATTACCAATGGCATTTTTTACAGACCTAGAACAAAAACATCTTAAAATTTGTATGGAGACACAAAAGACCCCGAATAGTCAAAGCAGTCTTGAGGGAAAAAAACAGAGCTGGAGGAATCAGACTCCCTGACTTCAGACTATACTACAAAGCTACAGTAATCAAGACAATATGGTACTGGCACAAAAGCAGAAATATAGATCAATGGAACAGGATAGAAAGCCCAGAGATAAACCCACGCACCTATGATTAAGTAATCTATGACAAAGGAGGCAAGGATATACAATGGAGAAAAGACAGTCTCTTCAATAAGTTGTGCTGGGGAAACTGGACAGCTACATGTAAAAGAATGAAATTAGAAGACTCCCTAACACCATACACAAAAATAAACTCAAAATGGATTAGAGACCTAAATGTAAGACCGGATACTATAAGATTCTTAGAGGAAAACATGGGAAGAACACACTTTGACATAAATCACAGCAAGATCTTTTTTGATCCACCTCCTAGAGTAATGGAAATAAAAACAAAAATAAACAAATGGGACCTAATGAAACTTCAAAGCTTTTGCAAAGCAAAGGAAACTACAAACAAGACGAAAAGACAGCCCTCAGAATGGGAGAAAATATTTGCAAATGAATCAATGGACAAAGGATTAATCTCCAAAATATATAAACAGCTCATGCAGCTCAATATTAAAAAAACAAACAACCCAATCCAAAAATGGGCAGAAGACCTAAATAGACATTTCTCCAAAGAAGACATACAGATGGCCAAGAAGCACATGAAAAGCTGCTCACCATCACTAATTATTAGAGAAATGCAAATCAAAACTACAATGAGGTATCACTTCACACCTGTTAGAATGGGCATCATCAGCAAATCTACAAACAACAAATGCTGGAGAGGGTGTGGAGAAAAGGGAACCCTCTTGCACTGTTGGTGGGAATGTAAATTGATACAGCCACTATGGAGAACAGTATGGAGGTTCCTTAAAAACCTACAAATAGCATTACCATATGACCCAGCAATCCCACTACTGGGCATATACCCAGAGAAAACCATGATTCAAAAAGACACATGTGGTTGAGAGTCTGCCTGCCGATGCAGGGGACACGGGTTCGTGCCCCAGTCCAGGAAGATCCCACGTGCCGCGGAGCGGCTGGGGCCATGAGCCATGGCCACTGAGCCTGTGCATCCAGAGCCTGTGCTCCACAATGGGAGAGGCCACAACAGTGAGAGGCCCACGTACCGCAAAAAAAAAAA